TGTTGACCAGGGAAAGGGTAAGAATTTGGCAGCACTGAAATCACCAAGTACTTGAATGGAGACTTAGGAAAATAGGTGGTCAGGTTGACATTTTTTTTAAATGAGCCTATTGGAAAGGCTTGAGTTTCTGGTAGAAGTATCCCCAGAATGATATTGATTATATTCACTAGCTTTATAAAATGTCCCAAAGCTTTCTCAGTAACCAAGATCTAAGACTATTTTAAGACCGTGCTGAAGTGATAGGCACGAGACGCATAGACTCACCTACCATATACCCCAGCATCCTCAGCTCATCTGTCCTAAGACAGAATACATTTGCCTGTAAAGGACAAGGAAACCACAATAATAATACGTCATGTCTTAAAGCTACCAGACAATGTCACCCCATGGAAGAATGAGAAAGAAATCTTCAAAAAATAGTTTTGAAAATGATTTTAATCCCGGTGATTCTCTAGCAGGAGTTGAAGCTATATCTTTAAGTTCACAGGAGTTGAAGCTATATCTTTAAATTCACAGGAATTGAAGCTATATCTTTAAGCTCATTGTGTTTATGAACATACACCAAACATTAGTGGCACAATCGGAGTTTGTTTCCTTAATTTCCATGAACCTTCTAATCGGATCATCTGCTTCTCTTTTTACTTCAAACGCCAACGCCTATCTTAGCTCTATTTGTTAGACTGGAAAAATTACCCGATATGCCAAGAAAAATTTTAAAGGATACTCACTTGAAAGTCCTAGGCCATTTAGAATATAACTAGAGTTTACTACCATGTCTAGAAGTGACAGCTTACAGATGTGGGAGCATGGACTGAAAGTGACTCTGGACACAAATGCATTAATGTGCCATGGTGGTAGTGCCTGAGAAGTATCAGCCTTGTCCCTAAACTGATGGAGTGAAGGGTTCCTGACTGACAATGACTCTCCTGTGATGGAAAAAGCTACAACTTGTTAGTACAGTTCCAGTAAACAACGCGCTGGCCTCACATGCTAATTAGCTATGGCCCAGCTCGCCAGGGCTGTGCAGTGGCACTCTAATCAGAGATGATTGTCATCAGGTATCACAGACGCCTCTCTCGGGCTCAGCCCAGGCAGGCGCTGATGCGGCTTAGAGAAGGAAGCCCAAGAAGCTTTGCGGAGCCCCGGGTCTCCGGGTGCCTCAGCTGCTGGTTGCAGGCAGCTCATCATTTCTGCCTGCAGAAAGAAAGAAACGGGGTTAGGCAAGAGGGGTATCCTACCTGTCGAGTATTCCAGGAGGCAGTGATGCAATCAGTTTGAAGGGAGAGGCTTCAGAAAGAAAACCCTGCAACTAAAGCTACTCAGGGGGCTTTTTGTTTTTCTAACATGGGATCCTTGGATATGACAAATGCTAATTCTTTCAATTCGTTACATATTTTTGAATGGGCGTCTGAGTGGGCTAAGGGAACAGGCCTAAAGATTTACAAGCCGCAATCAAGGATGTGGTGAGGAAAATAAATCCGCATGCCAAGAGGTGTGACTTGAGCCCTAAAGTGGGAACCTGATAACCTTGTAATCCTCACCCCCCTCCCTGCCAGTTACACCCTCTCACTTCACCCCAACAGCTTCAAGTCCTCCACTCCCTGCCCCACCCCACCCCACCCTAGGCACCTTGCCCTCAGTAACGGACTCCCCTCCCTGGGTTTCCTGGAAAATCCTGTGCTCCAAGGAACTCGTCCTCTCTCTGGGGAAAAAGGATCCACTGGGCTAGCAGCCACCTCCACCGCCACCCTCTCTGCTTCCCTGGCTGCGCTGTTCTGTGGTCTTGGGCTCCACTTTAGTCTTCATCCCGTATTGTCAGGAACACTGACGTCTCCAGAGGCTCCCTTGCCAATCTTGTGGTTGCATATGAGGCATCTGCTGCCTCTTATGGAACCACACCCACCCCCATGGCTCCATCTACTAAGCTCACCCTGAGACGTACAGATCTTCCCCAGAGCTCACTCGGAAACTCCGTGTTTACTCAACGTTTTCACATAAACATTCCATGGTCAAGATCTACCTACCTTTCTCCAAACTGTGAACCCACTCACCAGTGCCTCAGCCTCTTCCCTGAGATGCTTCCTCGGGGCACAGTGCCCTGTGGACTTGTCTCCCAGTTGCTTCACTCTCCATTTTGCTCATCCACGTCAGAAACTAGAATCTACCCTTCTCGCCTTACCCTAAACCATGCCTCTGACTTTCTCTTCCACTCTCTGTCTCCCTGAAGGTTTTTTGCCTCTTCTTACTGGGCTAATTTTTTGTCTCAAATTCATCCTTCATATTGCAATCAGCTTGATATCTCCATGACCAAATGCCAATCATGTTATTCTTCTTTTCAAATTTTTGCACAGACATGGTGAAACATATCTGAAATTCTACCAGTCCAGAGGCTGAGGCAGGAGAACTACATAAGCAGTTTCCAGGCCACATTGGGCTACGCAGAACTTGTCCCAAACAAAACCAAGCAAAACATTTCACCGGATCCTAGGGAAAGCCTAGCATACACAGCCCTCCAGACCCTGGACCTGCCTGGACATCCTCCCCACCCTCTACGGCTTATCCTAGCTTCCCCATCTCACCACCCACCCCCACTCTGATCACACATAAGCATTTGCACAGACATAGAATGCTATGATCTTTCTTGTTTTTCCAGGCTCAGATAGAACTGCTTTAAAGGACAGTATTCCTGATATTTCTAACAGAAGAAAATGCTACTTCTTGTGTGTTCCCAGAACCACATAAAGATGTTTTTATGTCTGTGTGTTTTGCCTGCAGGTATGTCTGTGCGCCATGTGCATGCCAGGTGCTTGCAGAGTCTGGAAGAAAGTGTCAGATTCCTTGGAACTGGAGTTTCAGATAGTTGGGAGCCATTATATAGGTGCTGGGAACTGTACCCTGGTCCTCTGGAAGAGTGGCCTGTACTCTTTAATGACTGAATCTTATCTCCAACCCCCATCCCAGCATCACAATTTTATGATTCTGTCATAGATCTAATTATATAAGCATGAATGTGGACCCATCGGTCCATTTCACTTGACTCTGAAGAAGTTCACATAATGTTTACTTTCACAGTTTTTCATTTGGTTGAGTGCTTGACACATGGTAGATCCTTAAATAACTATCACACAAATTAATATGCAAATGCAAGGATGAGTGAATGAATATAAATCTTATAGCTTCATGTCTTACAGATGGAGGAAGAAATGAGGCGCAGGGGCCAGGATAGGAGCCCAAGAATCACTGTTATGTGTCAGGGTCACACTGCCTGCATTGAAGACAAATATGGTCTCAGAACTCTTCTACTTTGCAATTTAGGCCAAAGTAGACTTGGGAAAGAACGTGAAGAGTATCCCTACTACTTTATGTTAAAATCAAATGGAGGTTTTCACCAAAACTTAACTGTCTATTGCCTTGGCCAAACCGTGATGCGGTTTCTGCTTCTTCATGTTCCTCAGCTATGAATTCTTTCCCTGTGACAGGTCTCCATTCATGAGTGAGGCACAGGAAAGAGGTGAGCTTGAGAAGGCATTTAGAATGCTGGTGTAGAATGGATGGAAGGAACCCTTGCCTGAGAAGCTCGGGGGTGTGTGGCCAGAAAACTTGGTTTGCAAATAAACATTTTCACAACCCACTTATTTGTGAGATGTGATGCTTTCCACCAGATGAGTTGAGCAATTGCACCTCGGGTCATTGTGGTACTGAGTAGGCAGCTTCAGCAACACACAATAAAGAATGTGTATTGGAGCCAGTGAGGATGTGGGAGACTTGGTTGAATTAAAACTTCTGAATGCTTGTAAATAATATTGAAGGCTGTTTTCCAGCATTTAATTAGGTGAAATATAAGGGTCTTTTTATTTTAAAAACATTTTGGGGTTTTTGGTGGGGTTTTTTTGGAATACAGAGGAAATATGGGGGGAAAATCCATGTCTCCAGCACTGAAAACATAGAGGTCTTGTGTGTCCCCCTCCTATCCCTTCCCAGGGTGTTTACCACATTTTTCAGGCTCTTATTTGAACTTTACTTTGTCAATTCTCTAGAATTACAAGGAATACAAAATTGCCTAGCAAGGTGATAGATACCTTTTTCATTTTAATTTAACCCATTTTGCTGGGCTCATCGAAAACAATGGTCTTAAGCCACAATGAGGGCCAAGGTAGACCACTAAAGGCTGCTTTTAACATATTTATTTTAAAGACTCTTGATTTGCATGTGGGTTCATAAGTTTAATGAAAGTGTAATCTGTTATTTTTACTAGGGAACCTTTTTTTTCCTTAAAGAAAATCCCATGGTATGTGTAAAAAGAATAAAAGCAAGACTAAGAGTAGGTAGAACTCAGTGTCAGAGTACTTGACCTGTATGTACAAGGAGACCCTGGGTTTAATGCCCAGGAGTGGGGAGTGGGGCAGGGGAGGAAAAAGAATCAGTAATAAGTAATAATAATCCGTTATCAAGTGCTCATCCAGTTTATACTTTACGGAGTGTACCGCTCATAATCACAATGTCACTTATTAACCTTACATAGACAGACAGACATATACATGAGATATAAGCATATATTCATACATATAGTCACATTTGGACCACAGATCAGACATATAAGTTTGACAGGTAAGTGTTATTCCAACCTAGAGAAAAGATAATTCAAATTCAGCAAGATGCGATGAATTTTCTATGAGTTAAGTGTTCCCTTAAGCCACAAAGCCATAAACACCCATGCGGCCTGTGTGAACCGAAGGTTGTGTTCAGAGTGGAGTCTGCATCCCAAAACAGGTTAGGCTGTACAAATTTAAGATTGTACCCAAGCTGCATTTCTGGTCCCAAAGCCTGATTTAATAAAAGCAAATCAGCCTTGGTTATTAGCTAAGTAAATGAAAGTGTTAATTAAGCTCAGCTCCCTGGCCAGGCATACAAGCCTGTAAATCTCAAACATACCTGAGGAATGTGGCCAAGCAACTGGGAATTTGTGTACGGGGTGGAGTCACATTCGTTTGTTTGCCTGGTATTCAGCCTGGGGACTGTAAGATGGTAAAGCTTTAATATTAAAAGGAGCAGAGGAGGAAAAACAAAAGGAAAAAGAAAAGACAAGAATAAAACCTGAAAGAAGGCATACAGGAAAAGAGGCTAACTTCTGTTCACTAATTGGCTGAAGGTGAGTGTTAACCAGGGCAGGGTCTGTAAAGTTGCCAAATTACTCTCCCGGTCTTTACTAATAGATGACTGCTGAGTGTGTGTGTGTGTGTGTGTGTGTGTGTGTGTGTGTGTGCCTGTCTGTCTGTCTGTCTGCAGTGTTCATGGATGATAAAAGAATGCTTAGTCTGTGCACACATTCTACAACGTGCTTGTGTCCCGAATACATACAAACACACTCAAACTGGGCTTTGCACTTAACACAGAAGGCTAAACCAAAGATATGATTAAAGAGGACAGAGGGAATAAATACTATAGAGGAGGAGAGTTCTACAACTTTAAAGAATTGGGACAACGAAAGCTCAAATGTACACAGAGTCCTGATAAGCTTGGAAAGTGTAGGGAGGTGACACTGTTGTTGAAACCAGATTCAAAGCATTCCCTGAAATATGCATGCTACTCAAAGTAAAGGACTGTGAAAAATCAGGACAGGAGACAAAGGAGCCCAACTTCTAAAGATGCTGGCCACATCATGATCTGCTTCCAACAGAAAAATCCACCTTAAGAAAGGTCCAGAGAGCGCAGGAGAAAGCACAGACAGTAGGAGGAAGTTGGGCGTGTGGGTGTCAGGCTGTCAGTAGTCTGACAGCTATGGTAACTACCCTCTAATCCAGCCAGCTCCAGCCACGCTCTCAGCTGACACCACCAGGCCTGACTGACAGCTGAGAAGCAGGCACTTTTTACAGGCTCAAGTGACATCCAGTCTATTAAGGCTGACAAGCACAAAGCAGAGATTTGCCCTGAATGGTTTGGTACTGAAGCCTAGTAAAGGGGTTATTTGAAAGGTCTTAGATAAAGTGTCAGACTCCAGCTCAGATGATAACAATATTGTAATGATGGTACTGGACAATGAAGGGTGATGATCGCCCCTCCAGGCCGGGAAGACTGTAGGCAGTGGAGAAAGGCAGCAAGAAGCATGCCCAGGGTGATTCTCCTAGGAGGCCAGTGTGCAAGCTTGCATTCAAGGAGTTTCCTTCCTTAGGCAGGACGGGCCTTTGGGCCCTGGGGTCTTACCTACAGTTGCTTATTAACTGTGTCATTTGCATAGAGGCTGGTGGAGCATATACAAGGACTAGAAAACTGGGTGTTAGCAAGGCGCCCCTAAAAGGATATTCACCGTTCTTTGCTTTACACCAGTTATCAAGGGGCACCGCAATATTTGGCCACCAGAAAATAAAGAATTTTCAGGCTAAGCAAGTGAGTGACTGCATCAATAGGACTGCGGCTGTCATCACCCCACTCCTGACCATACCAGACCCCCAAAACATCCAGACTTATTTAGTAATATACTTTTCCTAACAAGAGCAAAATTACTCTTCCAAAGTACCCTTTTATGTCTTTCTGTGAGATAGGACGTGCGCAATCGCCACAGTCCTGCCTGATTAGTAAGAGCGTGTCCCCCAGAGTCATCATATACTGACATTTGGATTCAGCCTTTCCGGAAGTGTGCTTGGTTTTTGCCCGTTTATTCACTTATCCCAGATGGGAGCTTAGGTAAGTCTTGGGAGCATAGTGGTGACCAAGTGCCTGCCCTCACTGTGATTTGAATCCAGGGCTGAGGCTGATGTTCTGCTACCAACATGCCAGCTATTGATATACCAATGTGCTTCTACTCCGGCAGAGAGTGCCACAGGGAGCTCCACTTCTCCCTCCCCTGCTTCTCTGGCCTCCTCTCTCTGCTGTCTACGACTCTAAGCTCCCCATGGTTCAGCAGCAGAAACCATGAGTCCCTGGCATAGCAATGTCCCCTCTCCGTGTTGTGTTTCCCCATCTATTCTGAATGGCCATTGTCGCTTTCATGTCTGCCTCTACTAGTGAGATTCAGAGATTTAAAACTTATGAGAAAAAAATGTCAACTCTCTTTCTGGAACTTCAACTTCACTCCTCTAAAAACCCCCTCAAACAGAAACCTAGAGTTTTCCCCATGCAGAGCCTCCTCGCGCCCTTCACATAAAGGGGCTGAAGTCTGAGTGTGCATAGGCAATCATATTCCTCGAAATTCAGGAAATGGTACCAATGAACTAGATTTTGCTTTTAGAAATTTGGTGACTTTTCATATTTCTACCAGTGAAAATGGTTTCAGATTATCCATGGTGACAAAAAAAGACTAAATTTACTATACCTTTCAAATATTAGAAAATAACGATTATTAATTTCATAATATTGGGGTAACAGACTCAAAATTGTAGCGCCTCAATGGTACCACAGTGAAAAACAAACTCCAGCAGTGCTGTGCATCAAAAAAACCAATGGTGCTCTCCTTCAAAAGGGAGACAGAGAAATACATTCCTATAGCTGAGAAAAAGAGAAATCACACCAGAGCAAACATCTTCCAAAGAGACCAAAGGTGGGCCTTTGAATGATCAAAGGTACTATACCAAACAAAATAATTTAAAGATTAAGAGGTATATAGAATGAAGCAAGGGCAAAAAGAATATGGGAAGTATACAGGGCAGTCTTAAAAAATTAATATGCTGGAGTTGAAGAGATGGCTCAAGGTCAAGAGCAATGGTGCTCTTTCGGAGGACCAGGGTTCAATTCCCAGCCCTCACATGGTGTCGCACAACCATCTGTAGCTCCAGTCCCAGGGGATCTGACTCTCTCTTCTGGCCTCCTCCAGCACTGCACATGCCTGGTCCACAGACGAACTACCCATACACATGAAAGGAAAATAAATCTTTGAAGAAGCGTGCTAAATTTCTGAAAAGAGCACAAAGCATTAAGAAATGGGAAGAAGGGGTTTCCCAGCATTACCAGAGGAGACAAAACCTCACTGATGCTAAAAATGATTGGAAGTTATAAATATTCAGTTTCAAGAGGCCTTGGAGTAGGGCCAAGAGAGTCAAAATAACCAAACTCTTGAGAAACACCAAATACGTCGAAACATCTAGTTCACGAGTGCAAGAGTAGAGAGACAGAGCACCATGGGCCACTGAGTGACAGAAGTGAGGAATTTTATCTGGACAGTGCGGAGAATGAACAGGTCTGTGAAGGTAATTTACTTTGGGAGTCAAATAAAACCCCTTTTAATTTAATTTTTAAGAAAAAAAACAATGAGGAACAGGAAGGAAAGAAAATAAAGAGGAAGAGGAGACAAGGGAAGAAAGATGGGCTCTAAGAGGAGCGAAGCTTAAAAGGAAGATAACGAAGTAAGAATGGACGTAGAGAAAATGAAAATATCAGTGCCAAAATTAAAATCCCCCGAAGGCACTCAAATAAAACAGGCTACAGAGCATTAAAACACTGCCTGGCTTAAGAGACAAAACCAAGCCTCTTCCTTTCGGTAGGACATTGACCACCTTTTGTCTTTCTTATTCTCTTGTAGCATCCCAAACAGCAATAGGAGATACATATTTGTAAATGCATAAGATGCATGGCTATCACAAGCATAATGGCCATCTGCAGAGAAACCCCAGGCAAAACCACAATGCGGTCAGTAGTATGAGAGTACAAATTGCTAGGCACGATGTCAAGAAAGTGGGGTACTGGTGTCCCAGAATGAACAGACAGTCTCAATGCAAACACTCCTGCACTGAGGATACCATGTCAAACCATAAAAGAATGATAACAAAGAGAAGGTAACGAGAAAGAGAATTCTGGACTATAAGGCGCAGAGGACCAAATGAAGGTGACAGCATGTGTTTTAATGAGACTGGAGACAGGAAGGCAGAGGCAAATGGGGGGCAAGGAAAAGACACACTCAGAATGCAAAAGATACATGAAGACGAGCAGAGCAGTTAAGAAAGAGAGCATCACAATTTCCCACTTTCCTCTTAATGGCAGCTGTAAAGGGTTCAGCCCATAACCGTGGTAAAACCATCAGCCCAGCAGCCATTGGCTGTATGTTCTTCACAGCACTGCTCCTAAAGCCTAGTCATTACTTGATAGTCCCTGGAAAACCACATTTGTAAGACTACCTTTATTTAACCTGACTCACAGCACAACCAGTGCCCAGTTTTCCCCCTGAAATGATTGCTGAAATAGTGATAAGCAATCAATCCATAAGGAGATGGGTTACAATTACTATAAACAAGACTATGACCATACACAGAAACAAACAAAACCCCAACAAGCAAAACAGCCATCACTAGAAACTGTCCCTGACAAAATTCAGTTGTTGTCTTCTCTAGACAGAACTTTAAACTTCATGTTTTAAATATATTAAATATATAAATAGATACATGAATTAAAAACTAAAGGAAAATATGAGAACAGTGTCTCACCAGATATGGCTTAGCAGGTAAAGACACCTGCTGCCAAGCCTGAGTTCAATCCCCAGGACCTGCATGGTAGAAGGAGGGAAGCAATTTATTCAATTTGTCCCCTGACCTCCACACACAGGTTATGGTGTGCACTCACAAATGAGAAAGACAGACTTGGTATGTACTCACTTATAGGTTGATATTAGCCTCAAACTAAAGAATGCTACAATCTATAGACCCTAAAAAGCTAAGGAAGGTTCAAGAGAGGACACAGAAATCTCGCTGTAAAGGGGAAATAGAATAGATATCACAGGTGGACAGGGTGAGAGTTTGGGTGGGGTGCACGTGGGAACAGGAGGGATCAGGCAGGGGGAGGATGGAAGGAGAGAGCACTGGGAGAGACAACTGGAAGGCGGGCATCTCAGGGATGAGCTAGAAACCTAGTACAAAGGAAACTCCCAGGAATCTATGAGGGTGACCCTAGCTAGGACTCCTAGCAATGAGGAATACAGAGCCTAAACAGGACATCTCCTACAACCAAACAAGACTTAGAGTGGAGGGGTTGGGACTCCAACCCAGTCACAGAACCTTTGGCCTACAATTTGCCCATCCTCCAAGATTTGCTGGGGTAAAGGTGACCCAGAAATTATGGGAATGGCCAACCAATGACTGGTTCAGCTTGATACCATGAGAGGGAGCCCACCACCTGGAGGGCCAGGACCAGAGGCTGGACATCCCAGAGACCTAAGATAGAACCAAA